GTGGAGTGGGAGGGGGTTAAGGATGGAGACCGCTGGTGAACTGGGGCTAACAGCCTCTTGCCGAACTCACATCAGTGATCAGCATACAGTCCGGCATTGGAGAAAGAAAAAAAAAGTTGGTTTTTGGTTTTTGTTTTTTTTCGCTCCAGGCGTGTGTAAAAAGAAATGAATATTTAAATACGAATTCCGTGGATTTCATTTAAGTGTTGTCTGGATTTTTGGTTTTTTTTTAAATCCAATTCAAGTGAGAGAAACCGAAAGGTTAAAAATGTCAACAGGGAGAGAAACAAAAAGAATGAAAAGAAACATGATCAAAAAATTTCGTATCCATTCTAAAACTTCCAAAAACAATGTGACAATTGTCCTGAGAGGTATCTTCATTCTTTTTTTTTTTTAAGAACCAATTTTGCCAATTGTGATCATTCAAAAATGATATGGACTCTTCAAAAAAAAAACGTACACTGGAAAAAAACTATTGGCTGGCAACCGCCGACTGCACGAAGACGGCTGGGATAGGCTCCAGCACCCCACACGACCCTTGTGAGGATAAAGCGGATCGGAAAATGGATGGATGGAAAAAAACTTGTTGAATTGAGTCAATTTTATTTGGTCAAGTGGTCGCAGCGCTCACTCATCTGTCCGTCATCGCCTCTTCTTCACGGTTGCCCTGTCACCGCTTCCTCATCATCACCGTTGCCTCCCTGCTTCCCATCTCGCCTCCTTCCTCATTTCCATCCTTCCGCGGCTATCATTTCCTTGTCATCCTTCCTTCGTCGCTCCTTTCCCGTTTCCACGCTAGCGCCGCTCACCATTGTTGCTAGCAACTCTCCATCGAGTCCATCAAACAAGGACAGAATCAACGAGAAGTGTCGAGAAGACAGAACAAAAAAAAAAAAAAAAAAGAGAGACACGAGATGGCTGTCATCTCCCTTCTGGTACTTTTTTTCTTCCTTCACCCTCGAGCTCCAGCTCTTAGACACTCAAGACAAGAAAAAAAAAAAGACTAGATATGCAAGGACGAACGTCCACGGCGGGTAAAGTCACTGAGAAGACGCAGACGGGATCGTGCAACGATAAGGAAAAGTGACAGCAACGGCGATAACGATCACGTCACTCAAGAACTATTCTACTACATGAACCGAATAATTACGATCGAGACGTAAACAAAGAAAGCGGAGGAGAGTGAATGATCGAAATACGAAAGAGGTGACGACAGAAGAATGCAAGACACTTCAAAGGGTGAATAATTTCCAGGTTAAAAAAAAAATACACTCTTCACGTTTAAATCTGAGTAGAACACTCTCGTAATTGTCACTTTTTTCGCAGTGGATTTTTTTTTTCCACACCAGCCAAACCACCGACTCGCGCAGGCCCCATTGAAGTCGTCCCTGCTGTGAGTTGTGGGTGAAGACTTTGTTTTCACTCTCTCTTGTTCTCGTTCTCCCTCGGCATTGTGATTAATATGCATGTGGAAATGTGGTTGAGTTATTTATAGCCACGGTCAGCTGTTTGTCAGAAAAATTTCCCTTGATGTTAGCACATCACAATCGTGAGCGTCCACAATTGAGGGCCACTTCATTAGGTACACTTGAAGGCATGTCCTTCGACACCAGATCCGTGTCGGAAAGTTAAAACCACAGGTCCTCACGCGGTGCATTCCTCCAGTGCTGACTATTTAGTAGGATATCCTACGAAAAATAAAAAAAATAAAAATACCATACGGTACCGTCAAAGGCCGATTACGTTTGCAGAATTTTTAAACCATTGTAGAATTTCATACAGGAATTTCTTTTTTAGGACATTCTGAATATTCAATTGATAGTTACATTTCAGGTTCATTCCACATCGCGCATGATTTTTTTTGTCTTATAGTTGAAAAGGACTGCGTGTATTTTTCTGGCAAGGAGAGAAAAAAGTTAGGTGGCATTATTTTGTGAACACGCAACGCACACGCTGTGCAACAGGAGCACATACATCTGGGCCGCAACAAGGCGAGCTGGCGGCAGCATGGGCCATCAATCATCGCTGGGCAACACTTGCACCCCCGCTGTCATTGTCCAATTACCGGCCGGCAAAGCCATGAATCAACCAATCGCCGCGGGCCGGGGGGGCTGTCTAAATATTGCCCGCGCTGACCGACACGAAAGGTTGGGGGGCTGGGAAAACCCACAAACTTGGAAGGAGATTTACATTATAGTTTGCCAAGGCAGCAGGTTAAGGGGCGGAGCGAGTCACAGTGCAGCGTGCCGATTGGTGGAGAGAGAATGGTGACCTCACGCTACGGTGATGCTGCGCTATGTTGTCATTTCCAAAGATGAAAAGAGGAAGATGGGGAAGAAGGAGAGCAGGAATCATGAAGATGGGGAGTTGAAAGGAGGCGGTGGGGTTGGTCCGCTCTGTGTGTGTGTGTGTGTGTGTGTGTGTGTGTGTGTGTGTGTGTGTGTGTGTGTGTCGGGGGTGGGGGAGTGGGAGGGAGGGGTTGGAACTCGCACAGAATCTC